TCATATCTTTTAGCCTTTTGTTTCTGTCTATGGAGTTTTCTTGGTAAAGATACTGGAGTGGCTTGCCAGTTCCTGCTCCAGGTGGATCACGTTTAGTCAGAACTCTCCACTATGACCTGTTTGTCTTGAGTGGCCCTGCACGGCATAGCTCATAGCTTCTCTGAATTACTCAAGACCTTTGCCATGACAGGGCAGCAATCCATGGGATTTACGTCTTAGTAAACATATCTAGGCTTTTGTTTTAAATGAACTGGTATAGCACTAGAGTAAAGGATGGGCAACATAATTGTCTGTGCCTGTACAAGTAAAGCTAATCTATAATACCACACTTCTTTAATCTATAAGAAAAATTTTGGTTAACATGTTTTTTTTTGGGGGGGGGTGTTACATGGTGCCTGAATCCTCTTGTATTACTTATGTACACTGGTGTAGGTCAAACTGTGTAAATCACTGTGGCAACTTGTCAATAGTTAAAAAGTTGAACTAGTTAAAAACGTCCATTGCTCAGCCACACCGATAAGTGTGACCTGGCATGCAACACTGAATATAAGCCTCAGCTTCGTAACTAGTGGTATTCCACCACTGCAACTTACTCTGTTTGACTCATTCCAGCATACATAAATCATAGGGTTCTGGCCTCAATGGAAAAAAAAGAAGTATTACTAAAATAAGCTTTTGCCAGTGTTTTGCATGATCCTGATATATTTTCTGGACTTACATAGTTTGCAAGCTGCTAACACAAATGTGAGCTAAACAGACAGAGTGAGGGGGATAATATGCCACTTTAAGTTTAACAGATAGTATTGAATGGATTGATAAATCTGTTTCCTCGAACTAATTAAATGGTGATGCAGAAATTCCAATTATGTCGCTAAGCATAATATGGTGTTATTCTGAATTGTGCAGCAGCTACAAAGCTCTAATGACAACTACATCAATAGAATGTCACTTTTAATTCATGCTTCATTTTCTCATAATGAAATTGCTGCACCCAGGCATTGAGTGGACAGCAAATATTCTGAAATTATATTACCACAAGCCACAGCTGACCTATATGGAGAGCTACTTTATTTTGTAGGCAGATTATCTTCTTCCCAATTTTACAAATGAAGATAAATTTTTCTTAGATTTGGTATCAGATATTGGCCATTCAACAGCCATTCCTTTGTGCTTCTTTGAGCCACACTGAATATGCAGACAGCAAAGGGATAATGGAGCCCAGTGTCCCGTGCTTTATTGACCTAATGGCCATGGCAAACGTGGCAAGTATCTCATCCTTTAAGGAAGTTCCAGGTATATGCTGAAGACACCTGTAAATATGAGTGCTGTTTTAACAAAAAATCATGCTTTTCTCTCCACCTCCATTCCACCCCATTGTTCCCCCCTTTATCTATCTATCTATCTATCTATCTATCTATCTATCTATCTATCTATCTATCTATCTATCTATCTATCTATCTATCTATCTATCTATCTATCTATCTATCTATCTATCTATCTATCTATCTGCTGCAGCAATTGAAATCTAGTTATCAACAGGACTGGACCTTAGACCTGAAGTCCAAGGAAGCCCAAAATGAGGAGAATAGCCACCCCAGAAGGTAGGAGGTAATGGGGATGGTGGCAACAGGTTCAGTGTCAGCATTTGAACTGGCATAGGATCACAAGGCCATTAGGATGAAGCAAGACTCATGTTGTTTGCCAACCATCCTATTTGGGTCCCCCTCCCCTTATTTTAAAATATACAGTATATACATTTCTGGACTGGCCAGGTATATACATGGGCAGAGAAGATCATTTCTTAATAGTTTTCTAATACCCTGTTTCCCCCAAAATAAGACCTAACCTGAAAATAAGCCCTAGTTGCCTAGTATGATTTTTCCGGATGCTCATAATATAAGCCCTACCCCCCCAAAAAAATAAGCCCTAGTTAAGTGAAACCCTGCCCTCCACCATTGTGCAGCAACCAGAAGATGACAGGACTGTATTTGAATAAATGTAGATTGTTGTACATGGAAAAAATTAAAACATGCCCTCAAAATAAGCCCTACTGCATTTTTGGAGCAAAAATTAATATAAGACCCTGTCTTATTTTTGGGGAAACACAGTATATATATATGAGGCTTATTCCCAAGTATATGTGCTTAATCTGTCAGCAGCAACAACAACAAATTCTAGAATATTTTAATCCAATAATCATAGTGTGTGAAAAATGCTAAACTGAATTGTTTGAAGTATTTCCTTTTTTATGTTTGGCAAAAAAGTTCTAGGGAGTTTTTTTGTTTGTTTGTTTTTCTAATGTGAAAGTAGTTGTAAAACATGGATGGCAGTGGGGTGCAGGAGGGTGATAGAAGATAAATGGTAATTGTGTGCTTTGAAGGCAAAATGACACACATGGCTGTCTAAAACTATCCATGGCTGGACAGCTCAGTTAGGTATCTGGCTGCAGAGTGAGAGGCTGAGAGTTCTATTCCCCACTGTGCCTCCTGAGAGAAGAATGAGCCTGTGTGGCCTTGGGCAAGATGCCCCTGGAAGAAGGAAATGGTAAACCACTTCCGAGTATTCACTCCCTGGAAAACCCTGAAAAGGGTCACTATAAGCAAGCATTAACTTGATGGTGCGCATGCGTGTGCACACACAAACATCTAAAACACACAGAGACAGAGACAAGAACATTAAAACTCAAATCTGAAATTACACAGCTGAGGGCACTGCTGGGTCTCTGTGTGAAAAGAAGACACACCACAATTGTCAGACCAAAGAGGAGGCAAAGGGAAAGAGAATGAGAATCATATTGGGCTATGTAAGCATCTTATGAATTGAATGTCTTCTTGAGATCTGATCTGGAGGTAGTGGCTTTTGGCTGTCCTCTGGTATGCTTAATAAGCTGATCCCCCATCTGTACCCACTGTTTATGTTTATAAGTGAATGTAAATATTACAAAACATCAAACAATGCTAGTGATCCCCTTCCAAAGGAAACTATAGCTAGGAAAGTACTGTGCTTCTAAAGCTTTTCACCACTTGGAGGAAGGAGGTGATCATAATAATAACGTGAAACAAACCCAGCATTTTTGTTCATTTCTAAATTACATGCAAAGCTTAAAAGCCTCCACAGGCACCAACACTTTACTCAGAGCTTCTTTTAGAATACAAATAACAGCTTTGCAGATTTTTGTACAAACTACATCATGGAGAGCATTTCCTGAACTTCCAGGCATGATCCAAGGTTCAGGTTTCTCTGTGACTGCTTTTAAGTAAGAAAAGGATAATTGTTAACTGCCTTTCCACTATTAACCTCATGTGGTTGAATCCAATTTTAGTCAGGCTGAAACAAACCCATTGAAATTGAAGGGATTTAGGACGAAAAACATTTTTCACTTAGCCTATGGTACAGTTTTGCATTTAGACTGACAAAGGATTCTGGAAGGTAAAGGTAAAGGTTCCCCTTGACAATTTTTTTTTGTCTAGTCGTGTTCGACTCTAGGGGGCGGTGCTCATCCCCGTTTCCAAGCCATAGAGCCAGCGTTTTGTCCGAAGACAATCTTCTGGAAGGTACTTCTTCACATATGGGATTTCTCACCTTAATACGTGATGGTGGCAACTAACTTAAATTGCTTTAAAATGAGACTAGGCAAATGCCTGAAATATAAAATTATCAATGGATGCTAGTCAGGATGACTATATGGAGCCTGTGTTTTATGCACATCATTGGCTGAAATCAAGCAATAAGCCACCTAGAGTGGTCTTATAGACCATATGGGCAGGGTACAAATAAAATAAAATAAAATAAAATAAATAAAATAGAATAGGCCCACTGCATCAGTGGAACTTCCTCACCAAGCCCCCAATGATTCAATGGGCCTACTGTAGTTGCAACTTACTACTGGGTATCTGCCATTGAATACTAGGTGCTGAGAAGCAACAATTAACAGAGAGCTATTGCTTCCAATAGATTTTTGGAGCTGGTGCATTGGGTTACTATGGGAAACAGAATGTTGGAGGAAATGCTGGCCTTTGGTCTGATTCATCACAGCTTTTCTTACACCGCTCAAAAACATTAAGATCAGCAACTGAAACCTGGGCATTTTAAAGCAAACTATATAGTGTATATATTCTGAACCGATCTACGTTTATTTACTATGAAAAACAGACTATTTTAACACATATTGATGTGTGTGCTAATCCCTCCTAGAGGCTTGGTTGAAAAGAAGATGGTATTATTATAATATCAATTTAAAACTGAAACATGGTGATTTTAAGAGAAACTGTTACCACCATATGTCAAGGCACAAAAAGTAATGATTTTATTGGTTGTTGTAGGCTTTTCGAGCTCTTTGGCCGTGTTCTGAAGGTTGTTGCCAAAGAGCCCGAAAAACCCACAACAACCATTAGATCCCAGTCGTGAAAGCCTTCGTGAATACAATGATTTTATTGCTTCCAAACCTTGAGACACAGAGTGCTATAAATAAGAATAAATACCAAGAATGATTAATATGTATTGGCTGATAATGAAATGTAGTTTTTATAGAAAGCTATTCTGGAAGTTCTGGGATAATATTTGACAAGTGCTTATGGCAAACCTTACATTTCATTTACCTCTCATTAGAAGTTCTAAGAATCTCCGATCATTACAACAGGAACTTTTCACATCTCCCACTAGACTTTACAAATTAGCTTGCTCCGTTTTGTGTCTGGTCATCAAAACATAAACACAGACCTTGCTTGCAAACATGATACAAGTACTGATGGCTCAGCCATGAAGGTTTGCAAGAAGCATGTCTCTGGAATACCAGTGGATTACAGCTTCCAATGAGAGGTAACTGGAATGTAAGCTTTGCCATAAGCACCTGTCAAATCTCTTCCCAGAACTTCACTTTGAACTCTTCTTTTCACATGAAAGCCATAACACCGCATTCTGCATTAGTTGTGTAGAACTTTTTCATAGGAATCTACCATAGAACAAGCAAATTAGAACCCAATCCAAATGATTTTTTTCTTAAAATCAATAGGGACTGATTAATAATATCAACCTTATTATTTTGATCTCCATGGTATTAAAGCACAACTGATGTACATTGGAGTGACAACAGTCTGCAGATCTCAAAGAACAAAGGATTAAATGGTGTTCACCAAAATGGAGGGCAAAATCCTGCGTATCAAATGTTGTTTGTAAGTGCTATATCCAGTGAGTACCAGAGCTTTATATTTCAGGCACGTTGGAACAATGAGCACTGTGAGGAGCTACCTTACTACCTACCTTCACTTGAGAACTGGCTACAGGATATCAGTCTATCTCTAAAGTGACTGTTTTCCTCTACCATCTTAGAAATTACTTTATATACTCCAGACCACACTGCAGACTAGAAAGAAAGATATGTGAGATATATTGGCATAACAACGTTGCTTTAATATTCAGAATCTTCTACAGATGAGAAAACTAGAACAAAGAAGGTCCTCTTGGCAATTGCAGTTAAGTGGAACTGGCTTAAAAATTATTCTCTGTTTATTTTTTTGAAGTGCAAGCCAATTAAAGACAGTTTCAAAAGGATGTTTTCTAATCATTCTTTTTCACTTTGACTTCACAATGTTTTTCATGAACTAGCATTTCTGAACCTGCTTGTTCAGTAGGTGAAGTCATAACTAGATTGAAATCCCTAGAAAGAACAGTATCTTTTGATGCAAAGTATTATAGGTCTGGTATAAAAGTGCTAGAGGGATCTTCTTTATGCTTCTATTGAAACAAACCTTTTTCCTTTCTAACAATATTTTCCAGAGCTATTCAGAACTAGTTATTAGAGCATGACCTTGTAATCTAAAACAATTATACTGATTGTAATCTAAAACGATTGCTCACTACCTTAGTGCATGCGCTCGTAATCTCAAGATTAGATCACTGTAATGTGCTCTACGTGGGGCTGCCTTTGAGGCTGACACGGAAACTTCAGATGGTGCAGAATGCGGCAGCCAGGCTCCTTACAGGAGTGAGGAAATCACATCTCTCCTATTCTGGCCAAGCTGCACTGGCTGCCCATCCATTTCCGCGTCGACTCCAAAGTGTTAATGCTTACCTATAAGGCCCTAAACGGTTTAGGACCCCGATACTTGGCGGAACGCCTGCTCCCACCTAGATCTACCCGGATCACCCGCACGAGCCAGGAGGTGAGGCTGGGGAGCCTAATGCCGAGGGAGGCCCGGAAGGAGCGAACATGAAATCAGACCTTCTCGGCGGTGGCTCCTCACCTCTGGAACAACCTTCCTCCAGCGATTCGTGCAGCCCCTACGCTGGGCACATTTAAGAACCAGCTAAAAACATGGTTATATGTTCAGGCCTTCCCTCCGGTCAATACTTAATTTCCTTTCTCTTTCTATTTGTTTTATTATATGTGGTGTTGTTTACTTGTAATAATTTTTATGCTTTATTGCATATTTTTAATGGAAGCCGCTCAGAGTGGTCAATCTGACCAGATGAGCGGGATATAAATCAAATAAATAATAATAATATATCAAATACTGATGGTTTCTTTGTTTCCTGCTAACCTTTGCAGATTCTTTGCATCTAATTTCTGCTTACCAGTCTTTGTACACTTTTCATTCATGCTTGCTTCTTCTCAAAACTGCAGCATTAGTCTTGTTGTTTACTGTTTTAAAGAAACATTGTCCCCACCTTAAGGTTTGTTCCCTCCATGTGTGTATATCAGAATAAATTTTATGAAGCGCGTTACAAAGGTGAAACAAGAACCATGGAACTGGACTATGAAGCAGAAAAAAAATTGGGAAGACTACAAGTCCCCAAATTCCCAAGCCAGCAAGACCACTGGGGAATCCTGGAAGTTACAGTATGAATAAGTAGATTTACAAATTTTACTGCAAAATAGCTGAGCTTTGGAACTCTCTGCCAAGGAATGAAATTACCACAAGTCATTCTGCTTCTAATTTAACCTACTATACAAAAGTTATTTCAAGAATAAAATGAAGATCCCTTTTGCACCACCCTGATCTCTCTTGACGAAGAGCAAGATGCACAGACAGAATGACATGGCTAAATTTGGCTTCTGCTAAATGAGCTCAGCAGACACAATTATCAGTGTTTAACTGCACAGGAGCTAAAAGAAAAAATCCAGTAATGAACGACACATGGCATAAGAGCATCAGGGATATCAACAGTGGAAGATTTATGTCTAATCATGCAAGAACAAGAAAGTATGCATCTTTAACAGCTTGTTTTGTATCTGAACGAAATGCAAGCTTTTGCATGCAAAAAAGTAAGGGAAAGATATATCAGAAGATGTGATGTGGACTGCACAACTTCTGAATAGTAACCATCAGTCACAGTTTGCTAGATGTTCAGCCACCCCCATACGTTATGGCAGGCAAATGCATATTTCTGCGTACATGATAAAGAGCCCTGGAGCTCCCAGGAACATGTACATCTCTGTCACAAGGCAGAGGTGGGAACACAGTTTACAGCACTGTAGCAAACTCTTCTTTGGGTTCTCTTTGGCTGCCAGGGACTTCTGGCAGCTTCCATAGCTGTACGGGTCCTCCTGCTCCAGCCAGCCAGTGAGGCTTGGATCTGGCCAGCTGGAAGATGGGAAGTCTGGTCCATCTGTGTAGGATAATTTAAACTCCCTGATGCTCTCCAGCTCAGTTGTCTTTTGGACTTCTCCATCGATCCTTCCCCACAAATGGATGTCATTTATGAGCTTGATCCTCAGAAATTAAAATGAAGGTGGCAAGGAAAAACATATGTGGCAGTACTCTTGAGCACGTTTCTGTACATAATATAGCATTTTTCTTTTGTCACAGATTTTTTACAATTCAGGTGTTGTAGTTATGCACACCCCCTTCACGGATTGCTGCCTTGTCGTGGCGAAGGGGCTTGAGTAACTCAGAGAAGCTATGGGCTATGCCGTGCAGGGACACTCAAGACAGAGAGGTCATAGTGGACAGTTCCGACTAAACGCAATCCACCTGGAGTAGGAAATGGCAATGCCACCCCAGTATCTTTGCCAAGAATGCCCCATGATCAGAAACAAAAGGCTAAAAGATATGACGCTGGAAGATGGGCCCCTCAGGTCGAAAGACGTCCAACATGCTACTGAGGAAGAGCGGAGGACAAGTACAAGTAGCTCCAGAGCTAATGAAGTGGTTGGGCCAAAGCCGAAAGGATGCTCAGCTGTGGACGTGCCTGGAAGTGAAAGGAAAGTCCAATGCTGCAAAGAAAAATACTGCATAGGAACCTGGAATGTAAGATGTATGAACCTTGGGAAGCTTGAG